CTAAATATTTAATTCTGTTGTTTATTCTTTAAAAAAAAGAAAGAAAAGGATATTGAGCAAAGTGTTCCTTTAAGGGATGATCTCCCCTCCCCCTGCCTTATGATTTGATTTACTCAAGTATATTATAGAAAATTTGTGTAAGTTGAGCTACACTTGTAATTTTTTTTTTTACATAGACTCATAAAATGGGGCAGAAGTGGAGAATAATTGACATTAAATTCCTAGACTCTATTTTCAAATAGGAGGTTGCCATAGGAACCAAATTTCAGTTCTGAAGATAGAGAAATATGTTTTGCAATGATGAGGCCCAGAGACAAATCAAGGGTACTTGAAATCTGTTGAAAACATTAATGGTGTATGTCCCGTTCAGATGTCAATAATGTTACCTTGTCAGATTAACCAATTTCTTGCTTTCTTGCTTTCTTGCTTTCATGCTTTTTTTTTTTTTTTTTAGGGGATTTCAGGGAACAAAGTTGAAGATGAACACCGTAAATACAAAATCTTTATTCTTAACGTATTTATTGATCATTAAAATATTATATTTTCTCTCATATATATTTTGTTTATTTTTAACATACCAGTAAAGTCTGTTCTGATGGGGTATCTAAAGGCAGATTTGGCCATTAGCTTAATGAACTGTCCCTAAGGAGTTCCTTTTTCATGGGCTTTGTATGTGGGATATGAGAATATTCTAAGCTCTGAAGGTTTACTATGAATATTGGTGTTTTATACTATCTTGATTTTTATGGAATGTCTCAGTATCTTTTCAGTGGGTACCATTTGGGTCCCAGATGTCTTGTCAGACTTATTTTAAAGCCATCTAGAGCCTGAACAGCTGTAATAGGTGAATAGGTTCATAAATAAATAGTTGTGTTGAGAGTCTTTTTCTATTTTTCCACTAATACATGCATATTCCGATTATCAGATTCTTTCTGACTGTACAGGGAAAGATCATTCTAATGATTATAGTACTTACAAGAGTGCTTAAAAAAAGGTCGTGGGAAAATAGAATTAAAAGATAATAGGAATCTTTCCATGAACTTTTTGAAGTACCCTTGTAATTTCTCAAATATGTTATCACCAATACACTGTTGCTTGTAATGAAATACTGATAGCCTCTACTGATTCAAAAATAATGATGACGGAAAACAACATAACATCTCATAGCTCCTCTCCATGTTTATAGATATTAAACATCTGGGCAGATAGTTAAAAACACTCATTGTTATCTCAGTTGTGAAATTATTTAGGTAAAAGATTTGGGTTCCTGTATAAGGGAACTTTTAGCTTAATGAAAGGAAAAGATGGAAATACATTTAAAAGACATAATTGATAGGTTAAAAAATAAAAAATATTACTTTTACCAATAATTGTACTGTTCATATGTTTACATTGTATCATAATGATTCACTTGATCAGAGATTAGTGTCAACCATCAAAACAACCATAAGAAAATGAAAAACTCCTCTTTTAGCATTAGGAAGTAAGATCACTTGCAAATAAAGATCTGCATGTGTATAAAGAAAAAACTTAGTTAAGTAAGTAGTTAACTTCAAAGCACATAATCCGCAGGGTTTCTAAGAGATATTTGTATACTGATGTTCATAGCAGTATTATTGACGATAGCCAAAAGATGGAAGCAACCCAAATGTCTGTTGACAGATAAATAAATAAAATGTGGTATATACATACAATGGAATATTATTTAGCCTTTAAAAAGGAAGGAAATTCTGACATACTATACAACATAAATGAACCTTAAGGACATCGTGCTAGGAGAAACAAGCCAGTCATAAAAGGCAAATATGAGGGTACTTCAAAAAGTTCATGGAAAGATTCTTATTATCTTTCAATTTATTTTTTCCATGAACTTTTTGAGGTATACTGGTACTATAATGATTCCACTTATATGAGGTATCTAGAGTACTGAGACTCAAAAAGAAAACGTAAAATGGTGGTTGCCAGCAGGTGGGGAGAGGGGAAAATGGGGAGTAGTTTAATGGGTACAGAGTTTCAGTTTTGCAAGATGAAAGGAGTTCTGGAAACCAGTCACACAGCACTGGAGACTACTGAGCTGTACACTTAAAAATGGTTAAGATAAAAAATTTATTTCCAGTTTATTTTTTTATTGTGGTAGAATATATGTAACAAAATATACCATTTTTTTTAAAGTATACAATTCAGTAGTATTAAGTACATTCATAATATTATGCAACCATCACCATCATCCATCTCCATAGCTCTTCATTTTGTAAAAGAAACTCTATACCTATTAAACACTAACTCCCCATTTCCTACTCTTCCCAGCCCCTGGTAACCACCATTCTACTTTCAGTCTCTATGATTTTGACTACTCTAAGCACTTTATATAAGTGGAATTATGCAGTATTTGTCTTTTTGTTCCTGGTTTATTTCACTTAGCATAATGTTCTCAAGGTTCATCCATGTTGTAGAATGTGTGGTGATTTCCCTCTTCACATTTTCTTATACATTCATTTGCCAGTGGACACTTGGTTTGCTTTCATGTTTTAGCTGTTATGAATAAAGCTGCAATGAATGTGAGTATACAAATATCTCTTCAAGACCCTGTTTTTAGTTCTTTTGGGTATATACTCAGAAGTAAGATGGTAAATTTTATGTTATGTGTATTTTAACACAATTTTTTTAAAGAATACACATAATCAATATGAAATCAATGAAAACCTTGTTTGTTTGTTTTTTCCTTTTTGTCTTTTTTCGTGACCGGCAACGGATCGCAACCCTCAGTGTCACGCCCGTACCGGACCGGGACCGGCAACGGGATCGCAACCCTCGGTGTTGTGCCCGCACCTCGCTCAGCCAGTGAGCGGCCGGTCTGTATGTGGGATCCGAACCCTCGGCGGGAGCGCCGCCGCACTCCCAAGCGGCGCACTGTAGCAGTGTGCCACCGGGCCGGCCCGAAAACCTTGTTTTGATAGGGAAATCATGTCATTTTTAAGGCAATGAGATGAAATTTTTTTAAATGAATAAAAACGGCACATTACCCCCTTCTCTTGTATCATCACCTAAGCAAACGCACCTAAACTCCAAATCTGCCAAGTAAAATACACAGAGATCTCAAAGTGGTCTTAATGTGGGGAGAAAAGAAAGTGGAGATAGGATGCTTACCTGATAATTATATCTCCCTCACCCTACCTTTTTTTTTTAAGTTAGAGAATTCCAGACTCTCTGATTTACCACATAAAGTAGGCATCAACTTAGATCCACCCCATATTCCTAAAGACTAAAAATAAAGGTTTTAGCATGCATTCTTTTGACCGAAATAACCTTATACCTCATCCTGAGCCAACAATGTTATTTAGTTGTCATAGTAGTAACTATAGTCTTAAGCTGTACTAGTACTATTACAAATGCATTCTGGATTTGTCACATCACTATTATGAATATTAGGTCTCATTTTAGAGGAACATTGAGAGGTGGAATGTCTTCATAGGCAAGTAAACAAGGTGGTAATGAGTCTGAAAAATATGTCATGTGAAAGGAACTAGGGATGTTTCATCTGAAAAACAGCCAGCCAATACAGGAGCCATTATCTTTGCCTTCAGATATTTGAGGGACAAATATATGAAAGAGGAATTTATTTGGAACTTGAATGTAAATAAATTACAGAAGGACAGATTTCAATTTCACATTTAAAAAAAATACTTTTTGTAACTTGGTTTCCCAACAGGCTTTCTTGTAGGGAGGCGTACTCCCCACAGGAAATTCTTAAGAAGGTAGCTTACTTTCTATCTGGCGAATTATATGGGAAACACCTTCTTTGGTGGTCTCTGGGACATTTATTTAGAGCCCTAGGACTTTAAGAAATCCAGTTTGAAAACCACTGACTAAGACCATAACAGCCAGATTCAAGATTTCGTTATTCCAAATGTTTATTTTCTACTTTATTTGTTCATTCAACATAAAAAGAGAGGAGACATTGAAAGGTTGTAAGCAGAAGAATGACATGGTCTGATTTGCATTTAGAAAGGTCACTATGTGGACAGCATGAAAATTGAAATCAAACGTGGGATACTAGAAGCAAGGAGACTGCTTTTGAGGCTGCTACAATAGCCTAGGCAAGAAATGATACAAACTAAACTAAGACAGTGGCAGTGGTGGAGAGAGAAAAAAGGTTAGATTTAAACAACTCAATTGAGAAGTAGAATTAAAAAGACCTAATGATCAGTTTGATATGATGGGAAGGGAGGAGTCTGAGTTAATTCTCAACTTTATTACTTTGGGGATTGAGTAAATAATATTGACTAGCAGAGATATAATATGTAGGAGTTGCTACAGGTTTGAAGGGAAAGATCTAGAATTTAGTTTAGAACTGGTAAACTAACGGGTAACTCAGACTCACCCCAGATTGAGTAGTCCTATAGCAAGCAGTTGCAAAGTCATGTTCAAGTATAAAACTTAGGAGAGCAAGGTCTGGGTTGGAGAAATAAAGTTGGGAGATAAGGATATAAATATGGCAGGTGAAGCCATGGAAGTCCAAGGGGAAGGGGGGCTCCACTAGAAAGACTATGAGGAAGCAATCACATATGAGAGGAACCTAGGTAAGTCCTTGTAATTTCTTAACAGCAGATGATGTACAATGACAATAACAATGCAGGCTTTAATGTAAAAAAACAAGAAACAAAACTCCAAAAACCACTTTGATTTTTAGAATGTACTTTCTTTGGCAAATTTTAAGCTGAAATGATTTTCAATAAAATTATGATAAAGATTCTGCTAAAATTCTGAAGTGTTTCTACAATCTAAGAATATTCTGGGTCTTCGCCTACTCATTTGGTTTGCATATTTTTGTTTCTTTAATTTATTATTATTATTATTTTTTATGAAACTGATTATGTTGGCCTTGACTCTGACCAGCACAAATTTATTATATGGCTCAGTAAAAAATCATACTTCAATAAGAATCATATTTCTGTAAATGTGAGAGCTTATACCCTCCTTATGTTCCTTGTTTACCTAAGGAAATGCAACTTCACCACAAGTACAAAGACCATCTTTCATGGATTACTTTGATAAGCAGGACTTCAAGAATAAGAGTCATGAAAACTGTAATCAGAACATGCATGAATCCTTCCCTATGTCCAAAAATGTTTTTCCTGATAACTGGAAGGTTCCTCAAGATGGAGACTTTGATTTTGTAAGTACATTTAAATTCTCCTATTTATGTTTTCTCCTTCTGTATTTTATTATCTCGTTGAGAAGTATAGTTCATATGTATATGAACCATGTGTATAAAATTATGGACTGTACATTAATATTCAATATATATCCATGTATGCGGTAGGGGAATTGTGAAATTGTACTTTGCTTGTAGAAATGTACTTATAGAGTAATATAAATAATTGCCTATAATTAAATAAATCACAACTCAAATTTAGACAAATATTCAGGACTCCTTAAAACTTAAATGACATCTGTTTTAAGAGATGTTTTCAATAATGCAAATATGAGATACTTCTTACATTAAGTAAACTCAGTTACCAAAATAAATGATGCAAAGTTGTTTATGACATAGATTTTGAGAAATTTGCTTCAACTTTGAAAGTTAACTGAATTAGTTTCTACTAATTAAGTGTTAATTTCACTTGCTTTGTCAAAAATAATAGTCCTATGCTATATCTAGGTAGCATATAAACTTAAATATAATAATGTTCCTTATCACCTATTTTTTACATTTTCTCTTTACTTCCCCTGCCCCACTTCTTATGATTTCTTTTAAAGAATGCGTAGAATACAGATTAAATTATTCTAGAGCAACTGTTTCCATAACTTGAGAGAGTAAATTCTCAAAATGAGTTCTTCAGTGGACTGAAAATTTTTATGGAGTAAATTTTTGCTTTAGCATGTTTTAAATTTTTTGTGTATTGTTCTGGAAGATTTTTTCCCGAATAAAATAACTCTACAATCTTTTATAGTTGTGTTTATTAATAAGTACACTTATTTATAAGTAAATAAAATTGTAGATATATGTGTATCTTTAAAATTTTTAAGTGATATTAAGCCATTTTTCTTAGACAACATGACTAAATGGTTTGGGATTATAAGTATTTTTGATTTTAAATACTTTTTCTTCTAAATATGGTGATTACTTGAGTTTTCTAACAATCAGATAAGGTTTCAAAATTTATCCTCAATAAATTTAGTACTTATTGCTAGCAAATATTAGCAATGTAATTCACAGGTTAGCGTGGAACCATTAATTGTAATATCTACTTATTGTTTTTTTCAATATTGAAGTAAGAAATTAGAAAAATAAAATCTGTGTTTCTTTAGTTCTAGTAAGGTTTCATTTTAAGCTATCTACTTTAAAATTTTTTATAAATAATTTAGAATGCTGACATTCAAGCTTTAAATCATTCACGAACATGATGAATAATGTATTTAGCATGAAAGAACTATCTTGTCTCAGTTGGAGTGAATATTAATAGCCTCTGGGAAAACAGTTTGAAATGAGCTACAAAGTAATGAATAAATTACTATAGTTAAGAAAGAGCAAATAAAATTATTTAATTCTGTTTTAGTTAGTCTTTAATATCACCCCAAAACTTAATGGCTTAAGATAACAACTAATTTATTTGCTCATAATTTTGTGGGTTAACAATTTGGCTTGCTTGGTTCAGCTAAGGGGTTCTTCTGCTTGTCTTACCTGGGGTTTCTCAAGTGGCTGTAATCGTTTGCCGGCTTGACTGGGGCTGAATGATCTCTCTAAAATTACCTCATTCATGTGTCTGGCAGTTGTGCTGACTGTTGGCTACGTCATATGACCCCATCAGGCAAGCCTGAGATTTTTATGTGGCGGCAGCAGCTTCCCAAAGAGAACAAAGTTGCAAGGCCTCTTGATGTCAGCTTAGAATCTGCACAGTGTTCATCTACAGTAGCATCAAAAAGAATGAAATACTTAAGGAGGTGAAAGACTTGTATACTGAAAACTGCAAAATGTTGCTGAAAGAAATTAAAGGAGGCATTATTACATGAAAACACATCTTGTATTCATGGATTAGAGACTTAATATTGTTAAGATGTTAATGCTGCCTAAAGTAGTCTACACATGCAGTGTAATCTCTGTCAAAATCCTAGTGATGGGCCGGCCCGGTGGTGCACTGCTACAGTGCGCCGCTTGGGAGCGCGGTGGCGCTCCCGCCGAGGGTTTGGATCCCACATACAGACCGGCTGCTCACTGGCTGAGCGAGGTGCGGGTGCAACACCGAGGGTTGCGATCCTGTTGCCGGTCCCGGTCGCGGTACGGGCGCGTCACTGAGGGTTGCGATCCGTTGCCGGTCACGAAAAAAGACAAAAAGGAAAAAAAAAATCCTAGTGATGGTTTTTTTCAGAAGTAGAAAAATTTATCCTAAAATTCATATAGAATCTTAAGGGACTCCACATAGCTAAAATAATCTTGAAAAAGTAAAAAAAAAAAGTTGCTGGTCTTACATTTCCTGATTTCAAGTCTCAATACAAAGCTACTGTAATCAAAACACTGTGGTACTGGCATAAAGACAGACGTATAGACCAATAGTATAGAATAGAGAGCCCACAGATAATCCCTCATATCAATGGTTAGATGATTTTCAACAGGGGTGCCAAGACCATAGAATGGGGAATAGGTCAGTCTTCAATGGATGGTGCTGGGAAAACTGGATATCTGTAAACAAAACAATGAAGTTGGGTTCTTACCTTATACCATATACAGAAATTAACTCAAAATGGATGAAAGATCTAGATGTAAGAACTAAAACTATAAAATTCTTAGGAAAAAACATAGGGAAAAGCTTCATGACATCAGATTTGGCAGTAATTTTTTTGATAGGACACCAAAAGCACAGGAAACAAAAGAAAAAAAAATAGATAATTGGACTACATTGAAATTAAAAATGTGCAGTAAAGGACACTATCAACAGAGTGAAAGGCAACCCATGGAATAGGAGAAAATATTTGTAAATTATGTATCTGGTAAGAGGTTAATATCCGTAATAATAAACTGCTACAACTCAACAGCAACAACAACCAAAACAACCCATTTCAAAAATGGGCAAAGGATTTGAATTTATATTTCTCCAAAGAAGGTAAACAAATGGCTAATAAGCACATGAAAAGATGCTCAGTATCACTAATCATTAAAGAAATGCAAATCAAAACTATAGTGAGATACTACTTCTCATCCTTTAGGATGTTTATTATCAACCAACAAAAAAACTCTAGAAAATAACAAGTGTTAGTGAGGATGTGGAGAAATTGGAATCCTTCCTTGTGCACTGCTGGTGAGAATGTAAAATGGTGTAGTCACTTCAGAAAGCAGTATGGTGGTTCCTCAAAAAAATCAAACATGGGATTAATGTATGATCCAGCAATTCCACTTCTGGGTATATACCAAAGAAGTAAAAGCAGGGACTCAAATATTTGTATGCCTGTGTTCATAGCAGCATTATTCAAATAGCCAAAAGGTGGAAGCAACCTAAATGTCTATAGATGGATGAATATATAAACAAAATGTGGTATGTACATATTATGGAATATTATTCAGCCTTATAAAGGAGGGAAATTCTGAAATGCTACAATATGGATGAACCTTGAAGACATTCTGCTAAGTGAAATAAGCCAGTCAAAAAAGGACAAATACTGTATGATTCCATTTATACGAGTTAGTCAAATTCACAGAGACAGAAAGTAGAATGGTGGTTCCCAGAGGCTGAGGAGAATGGGAAATAGGGAGTGATTGTTTGATGGGTACAGAGTTTCAATTTTGCAAGATGAAAATGTTCTCGAGATGAATGGTGGTGATGGTTGTGAACAGTTTGAATGTGCTTAATGCCACTGAACTATAAAATGGTTAATCTTCTGTTACATATATTTTACCACAATTAAAAAATTGATAAGGGGGAGGAAGAATTCACACACTATCACTGTTGCCTTATTCTGTTAGTCAAAATATGTCAGAAGGCCAGTCTAGATTCAAGGGATATGGATAGATTTCATCTCATGATAGGAGAAACAGTAAAGTCATGTTGCAAAGGGCTCTGTGGGATGGAAGGAATTGTTGTGATCATCTTTGCAAACATTCTACTAGAAAGTATCATAATTAAAATTCAACAGAAATCAGAATATTGAATTTAGGAAATTGGAAGTCATTAGTGATTTTGATAAAGGCCATTTCAGGAGCCTACTTTTAAAATTTTCACACACATACAACTTTTGACGTGTAGGCTTCTGTTGTCTCTGGCTTATTCTGGTTTTGTGAATTTATTTTTCCAGAAGCTAGTTCCTATAAATAAAGTTTTGGTAGCGTTTTGAGCCCATCATAGATTTTGGAGTCCTTTTATCTGGGGATTCTAAGCTTTGTTAGAAAACATTAAGCTAAGTCAACACATGTTCTGCTTTCTGCTTTGGATTGTGGTAGGGACTGTGGATAATTATAAATTATATATGTTTGTAATTCATTTATAAGAAGACAAGATAGAAATTAATGAGGTATTAAGTTGTATCAAGTACAAGTATTAAGTTGTATGAAGTATTAAGAAGTATCCAGAGCAATAATTTAGACATTTTCATGTGGTTTTGGATAAGAGGGGGACTTAGTGAAGGCTGGAGTAGTTTATGAAATTATAATATGGAAGGAGACATTGTCTAAGTATTAAAAATGGATAGCAGAAGGAAGGAAGGCACACACCACAAATAATGATGTGTGTAATAAAAAGCTTACAGGTAGGAAAGCACAAGGTATACTGGGGTAACAATGACGTAGAGATTTTCAGGTCTATGGTAGTTAATTTGGAACAATGTGAGAGGTAAAATGGAAAGGTAGGTCTAGGCCAGATCGTGGAAGCCTTACAAATTGCAGTGTCTGAATTTTTATCTCATAGACCATGGAAGGACACTTAAGATTTTTAAGTTGGAGAATGACATGATGAAAAGTGTCTTAAGAATATTTGTCTTGGGGATAGTATGTAGGATTGAAAGGAAAAGACTAGAGGTAGGAGAAATCAGTTATGTGGCATGAGGTTGAAATAATATAGTAATCAAATGGAAAAGAACCAACAAAAACAGGAATACGTAAATGTAGGAGACATTAGAAAAGATTAATCAACAGAGATAGCCAGCCTACTAGATTGAAGGGTACTATTTTGGTTAAGGTGAGGAACT